CAAAAGCAGAAATACAATTATTTAAAAAAAATAAAACTGTTTTCTGTTATGAAATTTCTTATGCATCCCTGATTGATTTCAAAGTGGAAATAATAATAATAGTAATTATTCTTATTCTTATTATAATTAAATTATAATAATTAGATAAAAAAATTTAAATGATTTTTTACAAATTATTTTATATGACAAATAGTCAAAAGGCAAAAATAAAATCCTTTAAAAACAACTAATAAAAAAGGCAAGTACAGTTGTGAGATATGTTACAAAGCATGTGAAGTACAATAAAAAGTGACTAATGTTTGACAGTTCATTTACAGTATATATTTTTTTCTGAATACGACTCTCCCATCTAGCTGTCAAAAAAACTACTTGATGATCTATCATATCTCTATATTAAGTATGTGCTTGTTACGCTGTTAATTTACTTTCTATTCTCACACATATATCTTGTGATAGTCCCAATACTAGATGAGTAACAAGAGACGTTTCTAAAGTTAGAGACTGAAACTCTTTGTATTGAACGCTCTCGTCTCAGTGAGAAACAATGGCACTGATTTCTTCAGCTCATTACCCCTCTCTCTTTTCCCTTTGTTGTCCACATTTCTCAGAGCAACATCTATAAAACATTTATCAACATTACCACTGCAATGCAGCGCAGCGCAGCACATTCACACCTTGGACAAATTCATACACAGACGAACACGCCAACGCACGGTCCTGACCGTATAGATACACACACACACAAACGCAATGAACTATATTTCACTATTCACACACAGACATTCATTGCTATTCTACTATGATCAAATATGCACATATACTCAACTGAGTCTACTGAGAAGCTCATCTATAATCTGTCTCCCTCTCCACCCCACACACACACACACACACACACACACACGCACGCTCATAAAAGTTAATGCACGCTTGCTGCAGTCAGGATGCTAATTCATTGGTCCCTGTAGACTCTTACTTAAGGTAAGGTTTTAAAGAGGGGAAGATTAGCTATTCATGCACACAAAGACAAGTGGCTAATCTCCCCCTCCCTGTTCGCTTTGATTCCTGCCTCCTTCCATAATTCATCGGCGCTCTTCCGTTCCTGCCGCCCCATCATTTACAGTATATATTTTTTTCTGAATACGACTCTCCCATCTAGCTGTCAAAAAAACTACTTGATGATCTATCATATCTCTATATTAAGTATGTGCTTGTTACGCTGTTAATTTACTTTCTATTCTCACACATATATCTTGTGATAGTCCCAATACTAGATGAGTAACAAGAGACGTTTCTAAAGTTAGAGACTGAAACTCTTTGTATTGAACGCTCTCGTCTCAGTGAGAAACAATGGCACTGATTTCTTCAGCTCATTACCCCTCTCTCTTTTCCCTTTGTTGTCCACATTTCTCAGAGCAACATCTATAAAACATTTATCAACATTACCACTGCAATGCAGCGCAGCGCAGCACATTCACACCTTGGACAAATTCATACACAGACGAACACGCCAACGCACGGTCCTGACCGTATAGATACACACACACACAAACGCAATGAACTATATTTCACTATTCACACACAGACATTCATTGCTATTCTACTATGATCAAATATGCACATATACTCAACTGAGTCTACTGAGAAGCTCATCTATAATCTGTCTCCCTCTCCACCCCCCCCCACACACACACACACACGCACGCTCATAAAAGTTAATGCACGCTTGCTGCAGTCAGGATGCTAATTCATTGGTCCCTGTAGACTCTTACTTAAGGTAAGGTTTTAAAGAGGGGAAGATTAGCTATTCATGCACACAAAGACAAGTGGCTAATCTCCCCCTCCCTGTTCGCTTTGATTCCTGCCTCCTTCCATAATTCATCGGCGCTCTTCCGTTCCTGCCGCCCCCCTCTGGGCCAGGTTTCTATGAATAGATGATTAGGACGTCGGAATCAAAAAATCTGATGAAGAGTCACAAAGCGCACGGTTTCTGTGGCGATAGAGCGTTGATGCGCCGGTGACACGCTCCCGTCCGATCGCCCTCGCTGCCGGGTTCGTCCTTAAACGTTAGAGGGTGTTTGTTTGTTGCGTAGGGTGGCCAGATTTCAACCGGGACACAGGGGGGTGGAGGGAATCCCAGTGAATGCTTCAAAGATGTAGTTTATTTAATCGAAACATTGCCTGTAAAAGATTAAACACTGGCTCTGTCCATGTCTTAGTGAGCTGACTTGATGTGATTGATTTCAATAGAATTTAGTTTAGAGCATAACAACGCAATGTTCAAAAAAGTGCAAAAATACATAACAAAATACATAAATTATGTATTTTAATTGAATTAAACTATTTCTTTTTTCAATTAATTTCTGTACTAAATCATAGGTTTCTTCATTCAGCTTGTGTAATGCATTATGGGATTGCCTTCCTCAAGAAGGATACTTGAGATATTTTTTTGTCCAAAAGAAAGTACTGTAAATTAAAGGCAACATTACTGTTTTGACTTGTTTTCCTGTTAAAATATCTAAGATGCTTAAAACAAGACCGGTTTACTTGAGAAATAACACTGCATAACATACAAATGCTTGTTTTCAGAGATTGTATCTTTAATATGGGTGTATTTTGCTTTACTCCACTGGCAGATATTTTCTCTTCTGTTAAGAAAAAAACAAGTCACAAAATCTGCCAGTGCAGTAAAACAAAATACCCTTATATTCCAGATATAGTCTCAGAAAACAAGTGTTAATAAGTTATGCTTCTCAAGAAAATGTATCTTGTTAAAGGAGCATTTTAGATATTTTAACTACATAATTACACAAAAATACTCATTAGGAATAGGAGTTTTTACAGTATAAACAGCTCAATAAGTTTCTGAACAAAGTTCATGTTTTGCAGAATAGTTAGTGCATATGATAACAGTGTTATCATATGGGGGGGGGGGCATAAAACGAGGAAAATAATTTGTGTAATTGAAAGGAACTGTTGGCAAATTATATGCATATAATTTTTTATATATTGTATTTCTTTTTTTTTTTTTAAATATGCATCCATTCAGTCTTATTTGTATACCTAATATGCTGAAAATGCTTCTTGTCTCATCACATTCAACTATAAAGTATATGAATCACGTAAATTACAGCCTGTATTTTCGATTCAAAACAGCAAAATTTGACAAAAAGGTTGAGTAGGTTGTATCACTGGTTATTACTATTGTTTGTTAACATTTTGATCGTGAAACAGTTGCCAAATATGAAATGTTTAGTTACATCTTACCACGCACTCTTTCGCAGTTAAAAACTGAAGCATTACACTTTAATTCTAGTTCAGTTGGGAATAGTTAACATTGACGAGTACTAATGCTGGGAAAATAAATCGATGCATCGCAAATCGAGAAATGATTCCACATCGATTCTGAGATTTTCTGAATGCATTGCGATTCTTTCTCGAGTCGATTCTGAACTTAGTTTTGAACAGCAGATGGCACTGCATGCTTTAAAAACAGTCGTACTTCTGCTTGTTTCCAAATCCTTACACACACTTGAATCTAAAATAATCATTCATAAAATTCGAAAAGGTTGAAACGAATTACAAGGGCGTTCACAGTGGGCTGTGTTTACATTAATCTGGCGTCATAAAAGCATTCTGAGCCGAGGTGAAATTACAGACTCAGCCGAACGCACAAGCGCTCTTCAGCGCTCTTCTTCATGAGCATTTGAGTGTGCAGATAAAAACTAGATTAGAGCGCCATCTGCTGTTAAAATCTAAGCTCAGAATCGATTCCAGAGAGAATCACGATGCATTCGGAAGATCTCAGAATCCATCCACAAATCGATTCTGCATTGATTTATCGTCACAGCCCTAACGAGTACTGTTAGACCGCTTATAAGCCTAAACATGTAACTTTTGTTGCATTCGGAAGATCTCAGAATCCATCCACGAATCGATTCTGCATTGATTTATCGTCACAGCCCTAACGAGTACTGTTAGACCACTTATAAGCCTAAACATGTAACTTTTGTAACTGTTAAAGGGGTCATATGATGTTGCTTAAAAGAACATTATTTTGTGTATTTGGTGTAATGAAATGTGTTTATGCGGTTTAAGGTTCAAAAAACACATTATTTTCCACATACTGTACATTATTGTTTCTCCTCTATGCCCCGCCTTTCTGAAACGC